TGCCCAACCTTCCTTCTGAGGAGTGGCTGGGGGTTTGAACCGCCAGCCTTCTGGTTAGCAGTCAAGTGCCTTAGGCACTACACTACCAGAGCTCCTCTTTGAGGGCAGAGACTGTATTTAATAATCTTCATTTTCATTACAGTGCTTAGCTCATGGCTCTTCTCCTAATATGCACTCCATGTTTGTACAATAAACAAAAATCAAATGTTAATACTACACATCACTCATCTATGGATCACCAATGGTCCAGAACCACACTTTAGGAACCAAAATAGAACTTGTAGCTATCTTACTACCCAATGTCTAGATCCCCAAATAATGTAGTGTAGTGGTTACAAATAGGATAAAACAGGTGTATACAAAATATATACAGTGTAGTAAATTACATGGTGTGGCTTTTTTAGCCATAGTCTTTGTAACTCCCACTTTGCTGTGAGCAACTGAATAGCTGCATGTTAAAGTCATCCACCTGGGGCAGCACAAAGTAAACTGGAAAAGTTCACACACACTCTCTCAGGTGTATAGAACTCTGATGGTGGGATTGGTTAGTTTTGCCACTCTACCAAGCTTAAAATGAGCCCTCCTAAAGGCAGAGAAGGAATCTCTGGCTGCCGGCTGAGGGAGACACGCTATTGAGAGAGACATGCTGCTGAGAGAGACATGCTGCTGAGGGTGTCAAGTGCATTCCTGAACTTGAATTGTAGCCTGTTGCTTCCCTATTAAACCCCATAATCTGTGAGTTCTGTGTGGCCACTGCAGCAAATTTTCTATACCCTGTAGAGAGGTGGTGGGTGCCACAAAAGAGACGGTTGGTGTCAAGGTTGGTAAGCGTGCTGGAGGGTGTTGGTGTGTCTGTCCTCATAGGAACAGGCCTTGGGCTGCTGATATTAATTCTGTCTTCCTCTTGTATAGGGAGGTCAAAAGATGCCACCTCCTTGCCCCTTTAGCAGTATACTTTGAAGAAGGATAGTAAATACTACTGCCAAGTCAATCCTGACTCATAGCGACCCCTCCTTGGGTTTCCAAGGTGGTATCTCTATGGAAGTAGATTGCACTGCACAATCTTCCTTCCAAGGAGTGGCTGGTGGGTTAGTAGTCAAATGCCTTAGGCACGATGCCACCAGAGCTAATAGAACCTGCAATATTCTCAGCTAGGGAATTGCCATGATGCTAAACTATAATAAATAAACTCTTTTGCTAAAAGAGAATGTTTTAAAACTTAGTAATGAACAGGAGTTAAGATAAATAGATACATGTTTACTGGAGAAGAACATAAAGCTCACAGCTAATTAATCATTACATGCATATCTGTGATGGACAGTAAGTAATTTAATTTTCAAATTTATGGAATCCCTGGGTGATGCAAATGGTTATGCATTGGCTGATAACCAAAAGGATGGAGGCTCAAGTCCACCTAGACATGTCTCAGAAGAAAGGCCTGGTGATTTACTTACAGAAAATCAGCCGTTGAAAACTTTTTGGAGCACAGTTCTACACTGACACACACGGAGTTACTAGAGTTGGAAACGACAACTGATTTTTTTTTTTCTTTTTTGTATACAGTGAATACTAGTTAAAATTACTGCCAAGAAACTTCTGGTATATTTCCAGACACATGAGGCAAATTAAAAAGTAAAGTAAATGTGATCGCAAACTCCACAGATACAGGTTCACTGGAGTAGGAGAGTCTGATGATGTACTTTCCCTTGATGATAACAATGGGCACTGTTTAGAAAGCTAGGAAACTTAAGTTTTCCCAGATAAAGAGATTCACTCTGGTTCAATAAAAAAAAAGTATTAATTTCAAGCCAGGTGTCAGATACTAGAGCTACAAAAGTTTCCTTGAATTCTTTTCTATGACCTGGAAAAATGGGAGTCTGGAATAATTAGCATGTTGAGTATAATATTTTGATTGATCATGTAATCATCTAGATTAATGCCAGTTGGAGAAATGATCTGGGAACTTGTGGGGATGGAATAGAATTGAACCCATGACAAGATGTATAACCCAGTTGTTATAGATGTGTAACCTGGCCTAGCACAATTTCAACAGATTTCACTAGAAAACTTTCATCATTTTATTTTGGCCATTAAAGCATATTCTCCAGTCAAAGGGACCACAACTCTGGCCTAGTTTAAACATGATTTACAAATATTGGTGAGCAGATGGAAACATTTTCATTACAAAACTCTTGTATAAGGTTTCCATATATAAAATCTATGTCTTGCCTCAGTCATGTATTTACTACATAAAGAATCTGGGCTACTGCTTTAATAAGGAATTATTTAGGTTGTACATTACATAAGCAATTGCTTTCAATGCCACAGAACTTCAACACATTAAGTATGGCTATTGAACTGCCCTCTTTACAATACTGGAATGTTTTCCAGCAAAGTCATTAAAATAAACATGTAAATCAGAAATGTTTAACTCTGATCCTTGGACACTTGAGAGCTGTCTATGGATGGACTTCAGGCATCAAGGGACATGGATCAATGGATCACGGAAAATTTGTTGTGTATGAATATTGTTTTCTGAGCAGAGAGTCATCACATTCTACAAACTCCCCCTAAAAAAGCAACCTCACTGCCATTAAGTTAATTCTGACCCATAGCGACACTTGTTTCCAAGGCTGTAATTCCTTACAGAAGAAGTCCTCATTTTCCACAGAGCAGCTGATATGTTCCAACCACTAACATTTTGGTTAGCAGCTGAGTGCCTTAATCACTGCTCCAAGAGCACTGCTATAAGTGGGTGTTATCTCAGAAGCAATGAACCTCCCTGTCCCAAAATATTACCCATTAATATTTTAAATTTATCATTGGTAGGTCATTCAAGTTAAGAACTTCTTTTCTCTAAGATCATTTTTTAAAGCAAAAATTACCTAAGGAGAGACACTTTTGGTCCCTGAAACTTCCTTGAAGTGGTTCCCTTCATGACATTTTGAGACCCCTACTTATATGCCAAGAAATTATAGAGAAAGAGAGAGTTAATTCTAACTCATAGCGACCCCCCACTGGGTTTCTGAGGTGGTAAATCTTTATGGAAATAGATTGCCCCATCTTTCTTCCACAGAGTGCTGGGTGCATTTGAACCTCCAACTTTCTGGTTAGCAATCAAATGCCTTAGGCACTGCACCATCAGAACTCACTCACTCACTTCTCTCTTTTCTCTCTCATCTCTCTCTCTCCTCTCTCTCTTTCTCTCTAGATAGATACATATAGATGTATGAAACTATAATCATGATTATCATGATGAGGAAAATAATACTAGGTTAAGTAACTTCCAGAACATTGTATACATGGGTTATAATTATCAGGGCCAGTATTCAAACCCAGCCTATCCCTCTCTTGTGTTCTTTTAACCCTGAACTAAAACCATGACGCTGCACAGAATTAAAGAAAATCTTACTTTAATCAGGCGCAGTATTTCAGGGCAGTCTCGAGCTTCTGCAGGTCTTACTCTAAAAGAATTCATGCCTAGTTGCCTCATGCTTGCTTGGTTTATGCCTGAATGGTATGAATTTGGCAGGTTTGTGCTTGGTTGGTTCATGCCTGACTGGTTCATACCAGTTAGGCTTTTGCCTGGTTCACTCATGCCCAATTGGCTAGTGCCTGGTTGACTCTTGCCTGCTTGGCTCTTATGTAGTTGGCTACGGGCTAGTTGGTTCATACTAGATAGGCTCATGCTGGGTTGGTTTGTGCCTGGTTGACTCACACCTCGTTGGCTTGTGCCCAGTTGGTTCATACCAGTTAGGCTTGTGCTTGATTGGTTCATGCCTGGTTGATTGATACCAGTTAGGCTTGTGCTCATGCTTGGTTGGCTCATACCTTGTTGACCTAGTTGCCTTGTGTCTGGTTGGGTCAGACCAGGTAGGCTGGTGCCTGGTTGATGCATGCTTGGTTGGCTTTTGCCTAGTTGGTTCATACCGGTTAGTGTTGTACCTGGTAGACTCATACCTGGTTGGCTCATGCTCTGTTGGTTTGTGTCCAGTTGGTTCATACCAGTTGGGCTTGTGCTTGGTTGATTCATGCCTGGTTGATTCATACCAGTTAGGCTTGTGTTCATGACTGGTTGACTCATGCCTCGTTGACTGGTGCTGTGTTGTCTTGTGCCTGTTTGGTTCATACAAGGTAGACTCATGCCTGGTTGACTCATGCTTTGTTGTCTCATGCCTGGTTGATTCATACCTGTTAGGCTTGTGCTCATGCTTGATTGACTCATACCTTGTTGATTTGTGCCCAGTTGGCTTGTGCCTGGTTGTTTCCTACTAGGTAAGCCAGTTAGGCTTGTACCTGGTTGTCTCATGCCTACTTGACCCATGCTTCTTTGGCTCATGCCTGGTTGGTTCATACCTTGTTGACTCATTCCCTGTTGTCTTGTGTCTGGTTGAGTCCGACCAGGTAGACTGGTGTCTGATGGACTCATGCCTCGTTGTCTTGTGCCTAGTTGGTTTATACCAGTTAGGCTTGTACTTGGTTGGCTCCTGCTTTGACTCATGATCAGTTGACTTGTGCCTGGTTGCTTCATTGCATGTAGCCTCCTAACTGGTTGGCTGGTGCCAGGTTAGTTCTTCTCTGGTTGATTTGTGCCTGTTTGGCTGATGATTAGTTGGTTTATTACTGATTAGCTGAGAACCAGTTGGCCAAGGACTGGTTGGGGGAGGACTGGTTTGCCGATAACAGGTTGGCAGAAGACTGATTGGCTGATGACTAAGTGTCTAGATAGAACAGTAGCCCTTAACTACAGTGCTGTGGTGTGAGGTTGTCGGCTCTTTCTGGGTTTTCTCAGTTTGATTTTAACTTCAAGATACCATTCCTTCAAGGTGAGAATCCAAGAGGAAAAAACGAGGATAACTAGAAGACGATTATTGATGCCTGCCGATAGTTTGCTACTGTTGACTTCACCAGCGATCACAGCTGTAAGCTTGGCTGGGTTTCAGGATGTCATCTTGTCTTTTCCTGCCAATAGGCCATACGTGAGAAGAATAACAACCCTGGGGGAGTATTAACCGCCTTATCTCCTAGCACAGTGGTTGCGTCATAATGAGGAAGTCACAAGGCCCCCTATCTACGTGCTGACTTGCTCCCCATGTGGTGAGGGAGGGGCGAGTCAGGGCCAGCTTGGTCACAACTTTGTTTTTGCCTCTCCAAGAGTTTAAGGTAATAAAGAAACCGCAGGGAGTATCAGAGATTAAGCCTAAGAGAGCTTGCTCTTTTAAGGAACCAATGCAGACACTTGCGCCAAGCTTTTCCCGTTTCCCGGAGTCCCAGTCCTCAAATATTCGCTTTCCGTTTCTACCCTGACTACCACTTACCATCCCTTTCTGATACAGATAGAAACTAGAATGCTTTAAAGAGTTGTCTCAAAAGGCGCTTAAGTCTCCAGAATAGAACATATTTCTTTTAAAATAAAAATAACTACAGCTGCCATTTATTGAATTCTTTTATGACCTAGGCTCAGGAGGAAGCAGTTTGCATACATCTCATTTAATACACACCACATCTTTATTATCTTCAATTCTGAGAAAACTGGCTTAAAAGATTTGATAACGTGCCCAAGGCCTCATAACGGTTGGAAAAGAACCTAACCTCAGACCTGGGTCTATCAAACTCCCTTTCTAGGCTTTTCACCATTACACTATCCTGCCTCCTACACCTACTCTGTTCATTCTCCACCCCCTTATCTGTGTGATCACCTAGTTGCCGGCTCCCTCACCCCCATCCCCAAGCAGAATTCCTTCTCACATCAATTTCATTTTCTAGCTCATATCTTCAACAATGTATATTATGTAAGTGGTGTTTATATTGTTTTAGATGGAGTCCCTTTTTGTTTTTTTTGTACACTAGAGAACTTGGTTGAATTTATGCCAAAACTCCCTGTGGTAAGGGCTTTATCTATCTCATTTAATTCTCACAGCAATCCTCTCTGAGGTATGTGCTGTTGTTCTTCATCTTATCAATGAAGAAAACCTGGACTTAAAAAGATTAGCTAATTTGCCCAAATCTAGTAAATTCCGGAATGATAGCAGGGTCCAAGGCCCATTCCCTAGACTGATGGGTTCAAATAAAGCTAGAGAGCCCAATCATCCTTTGTCATAAGAGTTAGCTGGTTATAAATGGAACTTAGAGACCCCACAGTCTTAGCATGACAGACAAACTAAGTCCCATGGCAGAACTATGCCAAGGCGGACACCAGTTGTAATAATAATAATGAGAGCTAATATTTAATAAGTGCTTCCTGTGGTATCAGGCATGAGTCTAAGCACTTTATTTATATTAATTAATTTAATCTTCACAACAATCCAGCAAAGTAGGTCATGTTATTACCCCTATTTTACAGGCACATAAACAGATTAACAGAGGTAAAGTAATTTGCATTAGGTCACACAGCTAAAAAGTCTAGACAAAATAATTGCTACCATTAGTAGTGATTAATAATACTTTAAATTTCTAGTTTTGCTTTTTCATTTTATTTTAATA